AAAAAAAAAAAAAAAAAAAAAAAACAATTCGTGCGAAGATGTTAAAGCGGGCTCTACCACTGTTAAAATTTATTTTAGTTTTAAGGTTTAGCTTAGATTGATGTAATCTACTAGGAGTTTTAAAAAGCATTTGATCGTGTAGATTACATAATCCTATTAAACAAACTTAACGGACCTAGGAATACACGTAGATTTTCTGATGAATTTCAATCCTATTTTTCAGTTCTAGTATTATTCCACAGTCAGCAGACTTGACCTCGAAATTTGCTATTTTAAAACAAGTAGAGTGATTATAAAGAGTCATAAATCTCTTCAACAATAATAGTAGCTATTCCGTAGCGGTTATAAGAATAATTTTCTCTTTTCTATTTTAATTATCATCAACACAATGCCCCCTCCGCCATTATGATCAACAAAAGCAGATGCCCCAATTTCCTAAGTGGCGCGCCGACCACGCTTCATTTAAGCTCTTTAATGATTCTGTTTACAATACAACCGCCTGCTTCGTGCGCTACTTCTCTTCATTACATAAAAATAACACTACAACCAATAACGGCGCACAAGGCCAAACATTATGTTACTAATTTGAAACACAACCTATGCTAAACTTATACCGAGCAAAAGAAACGACCGGCATTGTAATAATATCTTTGTTCTTTCAAGTTGTAACCTCGCAGATATATTTAATGATATACCATCATTGTTGAGGCACGTAAATTAAGTATTTGCTATTTTAATACTGTAGCGCTGTTACTGCCAATACAATTTTAACAGTCGCGGCCGCGCGCCATCAAATAAGCCCGCCTGATTTATTGCTGGCCGGGAATCAATATTCTTTTACATTTTTATTTAAATTAATCCGAAACCTATCAGTTACCTACACGATTAAAATCAAATGAGTAACTTGATTATTTGTAATGAAACTTACACTTGGCGCGTATTCTGTAAGGTAACGTAACACTTTATTAAGCGATGTTAATATAATTTAATTAATTCGCCAAAGCTTTCCCTCGAAAATTTATATAATTAAACATTGTTATGAGATTTATATGATTTTAATTTTAAAGATTATAATTATAAAGTATAATTTATTTATGAATACTAGCGTTGAAATATAGCAACAACTTAGGACTTTAGGTTGAACGGAAGTGTGCGACCCGAACCTTCCAAGTCACGAGGTTGCCTTCGAAAGGCGACTTCCGCAGCACTTTATCGCTCTAATGGCTCCTCGTGGGAGTATATCGCTGGAAGCCACCGCAAGTTATCATTTATATAACTCACAGAGAGCTTTTGAAGTGATTGAAGGCACTACCTCTTATGATTTAAGATCTAATTAAACCTTGAAATTGTTACATTTTTAATCAAATTGGGTTTAGAAGAAAAAAAGGACGCGGAGGAACAAACTCATAAGTGTTAACCCTCACGCGTTTTGTGGCTTTATTCATCTGCTAGTTTCATCACTATAAAAATATTATAGAATCATATTGTAGTTTTTATGCTATTGTATGAAGTGTGTATGTGATGTGTGTGTGCAGCTGGCGTGAGGACGGTGGACGTGCAGGCGGTGGAAGGCATGGTGGCGCAGTTCCCCTGCGACCTCGGCACCGCCGCCAACGACAAGGTCTACATGGTCTTCTGGTTCAGGGACGACGCCGGCATTCCGCTCTACAGGTGAGCCCTTACTACTAGCTATATTAGTGTTATTATGTAAAGTCTATGTCCGTGGTACTTTACATTTGTCACTTACTATTTTAAAATATCTCGTAATGTTATTACGGGGTTTTTTAAATACTGCTGCGGGTTACGAGTTCTAAAGCTGTTTTCTTGAAAAGTTTCTTTGCTCTACTTTTTAACAAAACTCTTCTAGCGCTTTCTTTTTTCAATCTTTAAATATTTGAACTGAGACAAAATTATGCGATATCATAATTTTTCTAAATTGCAATAGCAATATTAATCAATTATTATTATATTATTATTATACTATACTTTGTAAGATTTTCAAAGATTTTTATCTTCAGCCAAGTAACCAAATTAATGGATATCTAAATACTTTAAAAACCGAATAAATCTTATTGGGTTTCTATAGTAGAAAAAACAAGCATATAATGAAGTCGTCTACTAAAATCCATTTCGAAATATGTTCACGTTTTAATATGGCAGTGGTGTAGGCTCGAGGCTCCGCGCGAGGAGCTAATTAGTTCATAGTCGCACTTTATTTACTGAAGCAACTTATAAAACTTGTTAGCCCGACTTTAATATCATGTTCAGTTCATGCACGGAGTCTTTTGAATGTGCACTGCACTACACCAGTGTCAGCCGGGAGACTTGTCTACTAAAGGTGCTGGAGCTAATTTAAATGTTCAGGTCGTGTCGTAAGTTTAATTGGAAAAGACGTAGCGATGCAATCACAGAACCGGATTAAACCGGCGCAAAGCGGCTTCGGATGCTCCGATAGGCACAAAATAAACTCCGGCCGGAGTCACGTGATTGTGCTATTTGAATATCCCATTCGCGAAGGATTAGGTTTATTGGATCGTGTGTAAACATTATATCCTTCCGATATAGCGGCTCTCGCGAAAAGGTTAATAACATCCGAAAATCGGAATCTGACTATCGTATTTTATTTTCTTACAAGAAGTTGTATTAACCTTAGAAATCCTAATATTCGTTTAAGGTACGGCATGACCTGAATCCTCAATATGCCTTAAATGTGTTTATATTAAAAAAAAACCTGGAAACCTAATGACGATAAAGGAAGTACGTATGTGTGAACAGTTAGTATTCTCACAATGTCTGTAATAAAAGGTACAATTATAAGAAGTGTGAAGGAGCACTTGTCAGTTTATTCACGCTTCTTCTAATTCTCGCGCGCGCTAATTGTGTGGAGCGAGCGGCCTGGAGAGAGGCAGGCGGGCGGCAGGCAGGCGGGCAGGGCAGCTGAACAGACAAGTTTGCACCGTACACATAAATCTTTCAGCGGTGACGCGCGACGCAAGACCTACCTTCATTGTCGTCTTGAATAGAATTCACAATTACACGGATGTGTTTTAATGAACGTCATCTCTTAGTTATTTCCTTTTTATTCTGCTAATGACTAATTTAAGACAATTAAGACGGATTATTTTCTCAGTATGCAAGACAATGATAGCGAGATATTGATATGGAGGATTCTATAGGCTTCTATAGTTAACCATCATTACATTTTTAACACATTTAAATGTTAACCATAAAGGTATGTACAGGTAATTTTAACCACGATATGTTCTATTAATCGGTACGTCCCTAATACCAATGCTTTATAATAATTTAGTATCTTCATTGTCTCAGTTCATATTTGTTCGATATCAAGTATTGTGACAGGTAAGATTTTGTTACAATCATCCGAGCTTTAGTGAATGGAACATTGTTAATTAGAGCGATGGCGGCGGCGCGACGAGGGAAGAGAAGAGCTGCTCTTTTGGGCAATGCTATTGTGTTTTGCGCTGAATTTGCGCCGCTCGAACATAACAGCGCTTCGCTCTTAGTAATAATGTTTACGTTGTTCCGGCTCCGGAATATTTGCTTTCCGCAAAATAAATTCTTACCCATGTCACGACGTTGTTTGTGATATTGATCTTCCCTTTTGTATTGCTCCAGCAAATAGTGATGGAAAAGAAGTCATAATTAAAACTTGGAAAGTTGCTTTCGTCGGCTTAGTGATGACTCTTATATCTGGCGTGATCGTTTCTATATATATATATATATACATAAATCTTTAAACATACGCTATGACTATATCTTCATAAAGACAACACAGTGTGCTAACATCGCGACATCACTATCGGCGTGTCTCCTCATTCACAGGTCCGGCGGTGACGGTCGCTTTGATGGATGACACTAACTTTTGTGCTTACGATATTTTTATAGCAAAATTCTCCAAGGACACGGAATCGTTAAATTAAGTGGAATCATCAATCTACTTGTTATTTACGCGCAAAGTAATTTCTAATCCTCAAACAGTGTCGCCGGAGGGACGCAATATTTCATCGTCAGGATTACAGTCGGCAGAGGATGACGCTCCTGACATTGGGGTACTGCGCACTGTTTTATCCCACCGCTAGATTTACTGCGGCACACGGGCACGGCACCGGCTTTGTCAGACCAAATAAGCGATTTGATGTTGCGGACCGTTTAGAATATTTAGGGAACGCTCGAGCTGGCCGGGGAGTGCGGGGTGCGGGGTGTGGGACGCAGGGCGGGGTCGTAATGAGTTGGCGAAGTTGGGAAGTGACCGAGCACATGTCGGGAACGACGATAAATGGAGCCATTTGGACACATGTTTCAAATAAATTTAATATATGTCCTAAAATGGCAGCGAACTTTTTAGATTTCGTAACTTGTTTTAAACGCTTAATCCTTATGTACAGATCATAATTATGTTAATTCCTGAAATTAATCAAATAAAACTGTTATTTATATATTGTAATTATTATTTTTTATCTGTATTCGTGAACTGTAAATGTCGAGGATATATTCGAGCGGCTCGACTTACACATTAGATAAATACGACACTCACCCAGCATTAGAGCCGTGTATCGGCGCAGTAGCGGAGTTAGGAGAGGGGAATACTCGACAGCGATTAAAGAATCTGTCTCGCGCTCGCTCCATTGTTTTATAATTCAGAGGTAGGCAGCAGCGGGCAGTAGGCAGCGGCATGTTAATCTCACCCGCATCAATTTACGGACGAAGGTTACCATTAATCCTTTAGACTATTAATTATGCTTTAAGGACCAGGGTTTCCCCTAACGCGGATTTCTCTAAATAGATAAATGGTCTTATTAATGCATTATAATTGCAGTAAATCACTGAAATAGGATTATTTACATTTTATTTTATTTGTATGAAATATAGCTCTTTATGGTCTTGGATTACCAAGCAATATTGTTTAATTCTGTCTGCTTGTGGCTTATAATATTTTTTAATTTACTGTTAAACAATTTACTAATGTATTCTGACTGTAGTAAAGATTAAACATAGTTTTGCCCTTTGACAATTGATAATTGTTCAAGGTGCATGTCGATGCATACGCCTAGCCAGTTCAAAACAATCAGAGACAACAGCTGAAAACAGTTGTTATTCTTATGGAAAACGATGAAGCACAAAAAAAATACTTTTCAGTTCGCCGCTCGCGTCCGTGAGCAGAGTCGATTTGTTTTGTAGTGGGAGTGAAATATCTGTCCCTGTTACAAATATTGCTCGATTATTATTTGTTGTGATTTCCGAGGGCTGGAGGGCTGGAGGATAGGTGGGTGCGGGGTGCGGGGGCGCAGTGATTAATAGCGCGCGAGCAGCGCCGCGCCAAGGCTGCGCGGAATGAACTTTGAGCACTCGTAGGAAATGTCGGTTATGTTATGCCGAATGATTGATACGGTTTACCTGCTTTTCGTGTTGTTCACCGCTTGCCATATTAATCTTTCCCTTTGTGATTTCGAGCTGCTAGTAGTTATGAACTAAGTTATGACTGCGATTTTGTTTATGTCTGATTAGCGAAAACAATATGGTACTATTGTTCCTATCTTTTCGTACACAATAAACATTGATCAGGTCAATGCTTTAGCTCCGCTTATGGTTATACTAATATTAATTGATCCCTAGCAACAGTTCGCATCCCCCCCCCCCTGTCGCCTGCCCGACCGCCCGACCGCCTGCTGCCTGCCGCCTATCGCGAAAAGTTAGACAAAACTAATGACACGCGAGCAAACACTTGATGGATCTCTATTACACCTCCTAAATCACTTTTATTACGCACATTAATTTTTCCTTAAACAACACTTTATTATGCCTTAATATGTTTGTATAAACATTATCAACCCTCTGTAACAAAATAACGTAATGTAAAAAGAAAAAGTTATGTTTTTCAAAGAATAAATATACATTTAACGTGAGTTCTTATCGTTGAAATATCTCCACTTAGGTAAATACATATTGTTTTTGATAAGTTTCAGGTTTATAATACTTTTTAACTTATGTTTTAATTAAATGTAGGTAAAAGTGATTCACGTATTTGAGAAGACAAGATACCTCCGTACATATGTTCCCACGTATAATTTTAATGAAGCACGTTGTTTGAATGTGTTGTACACGTGTTATCATTATTGCGTTGTCTTTGTATAATTATCTAATTACAATAGGTTATGTGAACGTATACGTATGTACTGTGTTATTATTAAATGTCAATATCTATTCTAGATGTGGGAAAACATCACGTGTGAAGAAATTAATCAAACAATACAATTTTTGTTAATTGGATATATATTTATGATACTTTGATGTATTTCCAATACAATTTCTCTGTTTCATATCAAAATTTCATTCGGCATTTACGTTTGTTAACCTTTTCGTATGTAACCTGACACTGACAGTCGTTTGGATAACTTTAAAAATACGGTAAAAATTAGCACACAACTTTGTGTAAATATACAATAAAAAATGTATATCTTCAACAAAAAGGAAAATTTACATAAAAAGAACAATTACACATATAAATGACAAAGAATTCTATTATCTTGTTATTTATGTGTTCATTAACATAAAAAGACAATATGGACCCCAAACATTTATTGTTTTTTTCCTTGGAGAAAATTACATGTTGTTGTACTTACGTGTCACTTTGTTAACTTTTATTATTTCCG